CCAGGTCTGAATATTTGCAGTAGCTCAGTGGACCTTGAGGTATGACATCAGTTTGAGCCAAGGTTTTCATTGGTCAAACAATATATTTATTCAGGCTGAAATACGCTGACATTGAGGTCCATCCAAATATTTTTCTCCCACATGAATGCTATGCAGGGGTGTGCAAGCATTCATAAAAAACCCAAAATATCAGTTTTTATGAATTTGTGTGCTTGGTGTGAAAAAGCTTTAAAAGTACTTAATTACATTCCATGACTGGTTGCACTTCTTGCATGTGAAGAATCCAATCACCCAAAAAAACATTTTATTGCCGCATACAAAGCCCATCCCTTTGATCTTGAAATAACTGAATTAACTTAATTTTAACCTTTTTTGTGATTTAACTAAAAGCACTTTTTCCACTTTTTGACCTTAGAAATTTTAATGTGATGTTTAGAACCATTGGCACTGTTTAATGGACTGAATTTGATATGGACTATATTTTATGTTGTTGGCATGATAGAGCCTTAGTCTGCCAGACTGGTCTCACAGATGTGAATTTTTGCATTAGCAAAGTGGAACAGTGATATTTCATGACAAGAGCTGGACAGTACCAGATGAAGATATAGTTGTAGAAAATAACAGTGATAAACTTTAATGATTGAACACTTTTCTAAACAAAAGTTACAAACTACAACAAGCAGACAATGACAGTAGTCCAATGAAATACAAAATAAAGCAAGAGCACAACAAGACATACTTGAAACCTGGCGATTGAGTGGATAAGATCCATGTGATTGTGAATAGTTGTAGAGAATTATATTAGTATTAAATTATTTGTGAGGTTTCCTTAATGTTAAACCAGCTTCTCTGCAGAAACATGCGTGTCCTTGTGTTGGAATTGCAATAACTCTGTAACTTTGTCCACAGTCAAACTCGTGGTACCACCTTGAAGAGTCCGACTGTTACTTTGTTGGAGATTGACGTAAGATGGCGACAGTTTACAGCGACTTCCTAGAAACAAGGAGGATGTACTGCAGCACTTTGTATCAGTACAGTGAACAAGTATAACTGAGGGCTAAAGCTGGCTGAGGACAAGACTGAAGGTCTGATTTGTGAGGTTCAGTGGGGACACATACAGAGACATTATGATCATGATTAAGACCTTAAGATACAAATACAAATCAGATACTTAACTTTAACATCATCAGTTTAAAGGTTGCTCTCCTTTCTATCAGGCAGATTTTAGTTTCGGTCATTTCTAAAAAAATCATCCAATAGAGACCATTAACGTGCTGCAGATATTTTGTCAGTCACTGTTTACTCAACGTTTTAATATCAGTTTTGTACTATTATTTATTTGTCTATTTTGTCACAGTCAAATCATTATCATGTGAAAGTGCAGGTAAGGTGTTTTTTCTTTTTTTTTTTCTTTTAGCACAGTTGTGCTCATAAAACAAACACTACTAATTTGACTGCAGACATTTAGGTTAATATTCTCTAATGTTTGCTTTAATTGTTTATTCATACTATGTTGTACCTTTGTGTTTTCTGTTAACAGCTCAATGGCAATTCCTCCCCTGGTGTCTTTTACTCTGAAATGGATAAGGTCATCTGTGTGTGCAAGAGGGAAGATCCTACAGAAGATAAATCTTTAGCTAGATTAGTGTGTGAATACATCTTTCGTTAAAATCTTTATTTGTATTAAGTGTATGTCACTCAAATGTGAGGTTCTAAGTTACCAGCATTAAATATCTAATGTTTAATGTTAATTTCTCCCTTGGATCATGCTACAACCAATCATATTGTGTGACATCACAGGCACTCGCAGACCCCCGAGCCATTCTGGCAGGCCGCACCAATCTTGTACCTACAACGGCAACAGCAAAACAAAAACAGGGAAAAGGAGGGGCTTTAATAGCGGCTCCACGGTTGCCCGCTGCAGCCCTTGCCTCAGCGCAGCTCCCCAGTCAAAGCGAAACCAACATAATCTCTGTTCATGCGCAGCATCACAGGCAACTCCACGTCTCCCCCAGCTCAGGTCCACGCGACGTCGGCACTGGCAAGAACATGGGGCAGCCGCTTAGTCATATGCACACATAGGTATGGCCTACGCACACAAAATGAGTGAGAGTGCATACGTTCCTTTACCTAACTCAGATCATGCGCAGCATTACACTCCACTTCTCCTGCAGCTCCGGTCCACACAGCAACAGTGCTGGAAAAAACACAGGGCAGCCGCTCAGTCATATACACACACCGGTATGGCCTACGCGCACAAAATGAAGGAGAGAGTTGGTACGTCCCTTTACTTAACTCTTGTCATGCATTGAGTCAGGTTCTATGTCTCTTCACCAGTCCTTCCTCTCACACTGGCTGCTCCCTCCTATAGATTCCACTCCGATCGCCAGCAAAGTTCCTCATGGAGAGCCACACCACCCAGTTAGGCGTTTGTCTTGTGCATAGTTTTCTCTCCTCCGCTCCCCAAACTGTGCTGCTTCACCCCCGACCACTGCTGGTCTGAGTCTTTGTTGGTTTGTTCCTGCTCCCTCCGTCTGCACCTATCTTTCAATTAACAGTCAATCGACATAACAGCATAGCCTCACCCTGATACAGAGAAGAGGTTGGGTGCAGTCAAATCACAGCTGTTCATAATTATGCAGACCCAAGTTCCCGGTGTGCACACATCACAGCCATTCACGGCAAATCAGTGTCCAGTTTAAGCACACAGTAAGGCACAAGGCAAATTCAGGTGTAAATCTACTCCATTCCAAAACTAGTGATAAAAAGGGTACTGGCACTGGGATTCATAATTATAGCAGTAAAAGATGTTTCACATTTGACATGTATCTGCAGAGCTTTCTGTGTGATCTGGCTGTAATGGTGGTTTTAGGCCCCCATTGCAGCACACATTGTGGGCGGCTGTGGCTCACAGGTAGAGCAGGTCGTCCGCCAATCGAAAGATCAGCGGTTCAATCCCGGGCTCCTCCAGGCTGCATGTCGAAGTATCCTTGAGCAAGATACTGAACCCCAAAGTGTGAGTGTGTTAAAACTGAGTAGCAGGTGGCACCTTGTATGGTAGCCTCGGCTGTATGAATGTGTGTGTGAATGGGTGAATGTGACTCGTAGTGTAAAAAGCGCTTTGAGTGGTCACTAGATGACTAGTAAGGCACTATACAAATGCAGGTCCATTTACCACCAGAAACTAGTCCCTCCAGAAAATCATTAATAATAATAATACTAATAATTATCGCAAATTCAACAAAAATCCGCAATATTTGCAGGGGCTTGCAATTTTTCAATATTCCCATGACTTTTCTGCGTTTTTCCGCATTTTCCGGCTGACCGGAAGTCGTCGCTCATGCAACGTCATATGAAACGTCATCAGAGGCGTCATCAAATCACTCTAATGGCATTGCAGTATGCAAACACTCTGTACTGACATAAGAATTTGCACTGTTTAAATGCATACAATATCTATATTTAAAACTAAAGAAGAGAACTATAAAAAACATTTGCAGCTATTTTTATAATATTCAATATGATTATTATGGCAAGTGATTACATGACTTATTTTTTTGGAGGTAGTAATTTAAAAAAATCAACAACAAAAAAGTCTCCTTTTGTCATTTGTCGCAATTTTTGTAATTTGCCGCAATTTCCCGCAAAAATTACATAAAAATGCTGCAATTTTTATTACAATTTTTGACAAAATTGGCCGCAAATTCAAGGGGTTTGGGCCGCATATTCAAGGTTTATTTGCTGCAAGATCCTGGAAGGACTGAGAAACTAGGAACAGTTGGTAATGACGTTTACTGTTAGGGCTCAGCAGGTACAGGGCAGTGCAAGTGAACAGCACACAGTACAGTACAGCACTCAGGCCAGTTGAGGCCAGGCAAAGGTTCAAGAAGCCACCAGGTAACTCACAGGGTGCACACACAATGGCGAGTGTGGTAACAGGGCAAAAATCTCTTGCCTGCAGGAAACCACAGGTAAGCTGACTGAAACGCTTACACTGTCGCACTGTCTTCAGACAGTTATGGCAAGCAGGCACAGGCAAACAGGAATCAAGGACACAGAAACAGGTCTTGAGGTCAGGGACAGGAGGCTGGTGCATTTACCTGGAATCACATGACACAGGCAGGTCAGAGGCAGGCAGGGTCAGCAATGGGAAATCAATCTGGAATTGTTATGTGCCTGTGCGTTTGGGGCCCGCCCTGTGTTTTGTGTTTTTCCCTGTCTTTTTTCCAGCGTACAGCTGATCTCCATCAATCCTCATCAATGAGGATATATATGAATGGAGGAGGAGTAGTGCCGCTGCCAGTGGGCCAAGAGGCTGCGACACAGTAGTGTCATTCAGACGTGGGTAACGATTGAGAGTTTGGCTTGGTGCTGTGATATTTAGTTGGCTGTGATTAATCTGTTCTATGTGTTTCCCTGCTACAGGCGATCCGGTTCCCTTTTGGAGCTTGTTTTTCGTTGGTGGTCCTTTCTTCACATTTTGGTTGTAAATAAACTTCCCCAAACGGGCTGCCTTTTCCCGCTTTTGAAAGATCCCTCTATTTCACGGTGTTACTCCCCCCATCCCCTAGACCTCAGGCAGGGATGTAACAGGAATAAAGCACTGGAGATTCTTGCACAAGTGTCTGTGAGGCTAGGGTATATGTACTGGCTTTGAGTAATGGGGGTGAATGGTAAACTACTGACTGGGGGCTCTGTAACTGGGCATGCAGAAAAGAGCAGGTGAACAGGAATACAGAACTGTGACACTCACCTATATGTACATAAACTCTACTTTTGTGATATTTCTTAAGTCAGTTATGTTTAGTTTATTGACCATGGTTTAAAGTAAATGTCATGATCTACCCTGCCTGTTACCTGCTGCTCTAGGAAACTTCCACTCATCCTGACTCCTCCTCACTCACCTACCAGCCACACCTCCTAATCAGTCTCATCACTCCCACCTGGTCTTCCCAGCTGCTCCACATCACCAATCAGCCCTGTATATAACCTCACAGATTCACTCACTCATTGGCAGATCATCTTCGCATTATGCGTGACCTTCCCACAGTCTTCTTTGGACTGACTTCTCGGTATCGACTCAGCTTGCCTCTGATCTTCTCTTCTCATCTCTGTAACACTACAGCCTTCCGTTCCTGACTACGGGTTTTGCCTGTGAGTTTACTGGTCTCCGTCTGTTGTTGGCTGTGTGGCGATTCACCGCTCCTGTTTTCCCTATCCTGCCGGTTCTTCGATCCTCTGCCTGCTCTCGACAATCCATCTGTCTGCCCCTGCTGGTTTCGTCTGCATCGCTGTCTGTTCACCGGCTCTCAGCAGCTTCTCACCGCCCTCAAGCCTGCCTGCCCTGTTGGTCCTGGTAACTCGCTCGCCTGGCACACGGGAGACCGGGGTTCCTGCCTGAACACTCGCTACTTAAGTGTTGGTCCAATAATCTTGAATCTACAGACATAGCTGATCTAAAGTTATCAAGGAAATATTGATACATCAGTCTGTTTTGAATTTATGTTTTTTTTAACATTTGTCTTTAAAGGGAAATTTTGGTTTATTTCAACCTGTCTCCTATCGTCCTAAATTTGTTTCAAGTGACTAGTGACATAAAAACAATAGTTAGCATGTTAGCCGTTAGCCTAGATACAGCCAGGGCGCATAGTAGCATCAGACCTGTTAAAACATAAGTGAACGGGCAACCTTCAAGTGCAAAGTTAGTCCACTAAACAAGCTTTTTTTCCACAAAGACCACCTCATATCATTAGGATAAATGTCAGAACATATAGAAAACGACATGTAAACGTGTTCATAAAATAAATGAATGAACTTTTCAGGCTACTGTCTGGTTCTGCCTTCCAGCTGTTGCTGCTTGTTTTCGCGAGATTTCAGCTGCGCTTTGGAAAGCAGAGCTAAATGGTAAACAAACATGGCACCACACTGGTAAGGTAAGACAACACGTTTACATGTCGTTTTCTATATGTTCTCTGACATTTATCCTAACGGTATGAGGCGGTCTTTGTGGAAAAAAAAGCTTGTTTAGTGGACTAACTTTGCACTTGAAGGTTGCCCGTTCACTTACGTTTTAACAGGTCTGACACTACTACGCGCCCCGGCTGTATCTAGGCTAATGGCTAACATGCTAACTATTATTTTTATGTCACTAGTCACTTGAAACAAATTTAGGACGATAGGAGACAAGTTGAAATAAACCGAAATTTCCCTTAAGTTCAATTTCACATTAACACTCATAAATGAAAACTGTAATCAAACTCAGTCCATGTGTTCAGATGCTAAGTATAACCTCCACTACACAGTCTTGGGATTATGATATCATTTGAATAATTTCCTAGTTTTGTTAATGGCTATTTCCTGCTGTTTATGAGCATCACTACTCCTAACAATGTTACCTTCCAACATTCATTTTTTATTCATTTCTGTAATTGCTTATCCTGTTAGGGGTTGCAGTTGTGCTGGAGCCTATCCCAGCTGACATTGGACGAGAGGCGGGGTACACCCTGGACTGACACATAGAGACAGATTAACCACCAATTAACCTGCATGTCTTTGGACTATGGGTGGAAGCCGAAGTACGCAGAGAAAACCCACACTGACCCAGGGAGAACATGCAAACTCCACATAGATGGGCTCTCCCATCCTGGGGTTCAAACCCCCCACCCTTGGTTCAAACCAGGAGCCCTCTTCCAGTGAAGTGACAATGCTAACCATTGCACCATCATGCTGCCCCAACATATGTGTGTAACATCAATCATGTAATATTTTAAACTGCATTAAAACATGTCTCATGATCCCAAACTAATTCAGTATTTGACCATCAGAGTTTCTTGACATTATGGCCTCTAGTTTTGCAGACCGGGCGCGGCGGAGGCGCAGCGCACCTGCGCTTCGCCAACTGGGTGTGGCCAGGCGGATTTTGCAAGTTTGGCACACCTCCGTCCCTCTTACCTGCAGAGGGAGGAGAGAAGGCGTGGAGTGGGTTTTACACATCCGATTCACATCACACCAATCAAATGAGCCCCTCTCCTCGCCCTTAAATGCGCTGCGCGAAGGCGTAATGAGAGGCAGAAGAGAGCAGCAGCATCAGACGAACAAACTTCTCCCAGGAGGAAACTGATGTTTTGGTCCGGACCACCTCCACGGGCCATTGATGCAAAGGTAGCCTGGGAGGAGGTCACCACAATTGTAAATCAATGTTGCGTTTCTCTTGTGCACCTGCGCTCTCTCTTTCTTTCTCACAGTCTCACTCTGTTTCTTTTCTTTTGACTTTTCTAAGATGACAGATGCTGAATATATACTCCCTATCTGATGCTGTGGCTGTTTGTGGTTGGCTGAGAGGGATGTGAACTCATTAGTTTGCAGCTGGGTTAATCAAATCAGGTTGGGTTTCCATTACGCGTGCCAAACGTGCCAAACGGTGCCAATCCCCTTTGATCTGACACATGTGACGGGACAGTCGATATAGAGATACATTTATGTGCTGATTGCAGATAGCTGCATTGAATAGTGGTTTTTGAGGGTATTTATTGCATTGTTAATGTGCCTGACATTCTGGAAACCTGCCTGTGAGGTTTTGGTGACGTGTGCGCACTGTCCGCTGGTCAGCCAAACTTCGACTTACACCGGCTGCGCTTGACCTGGTTTCAGCTGCCGAGCTTTTAGCACACCTTCGGCGAAGCCTTTTGGCACGAAACTGTCACTGCGCCAAGCTGGATCTGTCGACACCTCCCCCTGCTGCGCCGCCACACCCATCTCAGCGCACCTCGGTCTGCCAAACTACCAAACTGAGCGTGCCTCGGGTTGCGCTGCTCGAAACTAGCTCTGCGCGGGGTTCGCCACCCTGCGCTGCGCTGGGAAACTAGAGCCCTCTGTCTCTTGTCCTAACTTATGGAAATGTTTTGCTTATTGCAAGGATCTAAACACAAAATATTATCTGCTGGGTTCCTGACTGGAGGAAAGATGAATAAGCAGTGTCAAATTCAAGCTGCAGGCTGTGTGACGCCTGAGTTTTCCTTGATTACACCACCTAGGAGACTTCTCAGAACAATCGTTGAACACCTGCAATACTAAAAAAAAAACAGTAGTACAAATAAAGGGGCTTAATGTTCATATTAATTTGGCAAATGCATAATTTGTAGTTAGGGGCTAAAATGTGAAAAGTCAGTTATGTACTGTATGTCTACTTGTAGACCTCCTAATTATAAACCCCAACATGTCACAGTGATGCCTTACATGATCAGACACAATCAGGGTGAAGCAGCACATTAAACATCTGAAACTACTAAGAAGAAGCTTTTCTGTAACAGTCAGAGACATGAACGAACAGCTGCTTGATTTACAGCATGTCGTCCTAAAAGCAGAGTGAAATGGAGAATCAGATAAAAGCTGAGAGATGACAGACAGTGAGTGAGGTCAAAGCCACTCCGCTGATGTGAGCTGATAATAATGTGTTTTAGGAGGCGATGTGGACGATGATAGCGAGGGCGTTCCTCGGTCAGGAGGCTGATTGGAAACAAATGGGAGCAGTTAATCAAACTGCAGCTCAGACTGAGTCCAGATCACTGCTGTATACAGGTTTGTCGACTTTATGATATCCATTTGGCATGCTGTTTTCTGTCTCATAAAACAGTTGAGCTGCACTGAAGGAGTAAAAAGTTGAGAGGAACACTAACACTTTCTATGAAGACCACATTTATAATGAGGGCATTCATAGTGAATTATAATGCTTTATGACTACACTCATAAACACACATAATGCTTATCGATGCACTGTATCAACAGTCATAAAAGTTCATGATGTGATAACATGATGTGTTTCCAGATAGATTTTTGTGCATTCCAAGTAGTTGCAAATAGTTTTTCATGTGTACCAAGTAGTTCCACAAAGTTTCTTGTGCTCACTAGGTCCAGATAGAGTATTTCCTCTGGAGCAGGGATGATTGGTAAATTGTTAGCTGATTAGTTACTTAATCAACGAAGGACTAATTATTTGGGTCTTTTTCTCATGATGGTTTCTGGTTTTGATTGTCTGTTTCCATTGCTGAATCTGTCCACGTAAGTGACTGTGACTCAGCGGGAACACTAATCTGTAAACTATAAACTACAGTTAAGGTTTTTGGTCAAATTGTCTTAATGCTTCAATCTGCCTGAAAGTTACACCACAGTTTTAGGGTTTGGATTTGAAACATGAGTGATTAGATGTTTGTGATTTATTCGTCCTGTACCATTGAACTCAGTCATGATGGTAATTATTCTGGGCATAACGTCACTGTTGAAATCAGTTACATTTTGTATATCACAGTTGAAAAGCTCAGACTCTGTGTGTGCAGTATCATATGAACACACAATTTCCTGCACTATAGCCATTATGTTATTAAGCTTTTACAGTCTAAAGATAAGCTTGTTTTTAAACTCAGCACTGATTCATTATGGCCACATGGTGCACCTCACCTTTTCAGCCTGTCACAGACTCCTTTTTGGGGCTTTCTGGGTGCATTGTTGCAGGTCCTGCTTCTGTGTGTTTCACTTTGCTTTGGACTGAAAATAAATCATTTCATCACTGAGGACTTTTACCAGAGGAGGCAAGTAGTTAAGTATTATTTAGTCAAGGTTTGTAGTTTAGAGGTTCTACTAGTAACTTTTTGTGAGACTTAATACGTTTCAAATGATGTTTGCAGTTACACTGACTGATCATAAAACATGCTCAGTGGTTTTTAATGTCCAAGGTTCAAAAGTTTACCTACCAACACATCTCAATTTCAATTCAATTCAATTTTATTTATAAAGCCCAATATCACAAATCACAATTTGCCTCACAGGGCTTTACAGCATACGACATCCCTCTGTCCTTATGACCCTCACAGCGGATAAGGAAAAACTCCCCAAAAAAAACCCCTTTAACGGGGAAAAAAAAACCGGTAGAAACCTCAGGAAGAGCAACTGAGGAGGGATCCCTCTTCCAGGAGGGACAGACGTGCAATAGATGTCGTACAGAACAGATCAGCATAATAAATTAACAGTAATCCATATGACACAATGAGACAGAGAGAGAGAGAGAGAGAGAGAGAGAGAGAGAGAGAGAGAGAGAGATGCAGGTAATGACAGTAGCTTACAACAACATTATTGAAAGTAATAATATTATAGTTATAGTTCTGGCTACTGTGGTACAATATGTTGAAAGTATGTATTAATATCTGGCAGTATACATGTGTGACAATAGTCATATGTGTATAATAACAGTAGAAGTATGACTAATGACTAATGATGGCAGCAGCAGCAGGAGGCATCTGGCAGGACCACGGCAGCAGCACAACCACACACGTCACGCTGTCCAGGCACCGCTGCGATATGAGTTAATCTGAGAGACAGTGGAGCACAAAGGCTCCGGAGAAGAAGCCGAGTTAGTGACATCCAGAATGGCCGAGTTAGCAAGATGCAGTAATAGGATGAGAGTGAGAGAGAGAGAGAGAGAGAGAGAGAGAGAGAGAGAGAGGGAGAGAGAGGGAGCCCGGTGTATTATAGGGGGTCCTCCGGCAGACTAGGCCTAAGTCAGCCTAACTAGGGGCTGGTACAGGGCAAGCCTGAGCCAGCCCTAACTATAAGCTTTATCAAAGAGGAAAGTCTTAAGTCTAGTCTTAAATGTGGAGACGGTGTCTGCCTCCCGGACCGTAACAGGAAGATGATTCCACAGGAGAGGAGCCTGATAGCTGAAGGCTCTGGCTCCTGATCTACTTTTGGAGACTTTAGGGACCACGAGTAACCCTGCGTTCTCAGAGCGCAGTGTTCTGGTGGGATAATATGGCACTATGAGCTCTCTAAGATATGACGGAGCTTGACCATTTAGAGCTTTATAAGTTAACAGTAGGATTTTAAATTCAATTCTGGATTTTACAGGGAGCCAGTGCAGAGAAGCTAAAACAGGAGAAATATGATCTCGTTTCTTAGTTCCTGTTAGTACACGTGCTGCTGCATTCTGAATTAGCTGGAGAGTTTTTAAGGACTTACTAGAGCTACCTGATAATAGAGAGTTACAGTAATCCAGCCTTGAGGTAACAAAAGCGTGGACCAATTTTTCTGCATCTTTTCGGGTCAGGATAGGCCTAATTTTCGCAATATTACGCAGATGAAAAAATGCAGTCCGTGAGGTTTGCTTTAAATGAGAATTAAAAGACAAATCTTGATCAAATATTACTCCGAGGTTTCTTACGGTAGTGCTAGAGGCCAGAGCAATGCCATCTAGAGAAACTATGTCATCAGATAAAGAGTCTCTGAGTTGTTTGGGGCCAAGAACAATAACTTCAGTTTTGTCTGAATTTAACATCAGGAAATTGGTGCTCATCCAATTTTTTATGTCTTTAAGGCAGTTATGGAGTTTAGTTAATTGATTACTTTCTTCTGGCTTCATCGATAAATACAACTGTGTATCATCCGCATAACAATGGAAATTTATAGAGTGATTTCTAATGATGTTACCTAAAGGAAGCATATATAGAGTAAATAGGATTGGTCCGAGCACAGAACCTTGCGGAACTCCAAAACAAACTTTGGTACGTAAGGATGATTCATTACGAACGTCAACAAATTGAAAACGATCAGATAAATAAGATTTAAACCAGCTTAGTGCTGAACCTTTTAGGCCAATTAAGTGATCCAGTCTCTGCAGTAGAATTTGATGGTCAATTGTGTCAAACGCCGCACTAAGATCTAATAAAACAAGAACAGAGACGAGTCCTTTGTCTGAAGCAATCAGAAGGTCATTTGTAATTTTAACTAGAGCTGTCTCAGTGCTATGATGCACTCTAA